CCCTGCGGGTCCGGGCGGCGGAGAGAGACTGCAAGGGGCAGGAATGGGGTGGGGGCCGAGCTGCGCTCGGAGCCCGGGGTGGGGTGCGGCTGGAGATGCAGACGCGCAGGGCTCCTTGCAGGGGCTTACGTTTAGAAAGAAGGGAAGAGTGGTTTTGATTCCTTTCTAGAAGCTGCCTTTTTAAAAATCCTGGTTCTGCCTTTGTCATCTAGTGTATATCTGGGAGCACGCTGGCTTTGCCGTAAATTAACTTTTTTTTTTTTTTTGAACGCTGTCAGACCGCCGTGAAACCTTAACAAAATGAGGGACCGTGATGATTTCTCCTGCGCGAAGCTTCCAATCAAGTTAGGGTTGAAAGACCTACCCACTTCAGAGGGAGTTGATGCCTCCCTGTCTTCCCTCTCCTCTCCTGCCCTCCGCATTAGCGGTTATTCAGATTATCTCACTAGATAGATTCCTGACAGCCTGGGGCTTCAAGCAGCAGGCTGTACAATACTGCATGCAGATCGAGCTGGGTTTGGGGAGGTTTTGTAGAAATCCCGAGATTACCGTTGTGGTTTTGGTTAGAGCTGTTCTCACATCATTGAGATGTTCAAAGATAGTTCCATGACAGCTGGATCAGTGACCCATTATTGCAGGAGAAAGAATTCCGAAGGTCTTAGTTGTAGGTAAATGTCCCTGTTGCATGCTTCTAACTGCAAACAATTGTGTAAATCAGGAGATTCTCAGGCAACGGAGCCGGCCCCGGCTGAAGCTCTAGTAGGAGTGGAAAGGCCACACCCAGAGATGATGAATCCCAAAAATCAAAGCTGAGGTGATCCAAGAACTTGCCCTCTTGGCAGGAGGCGGCCAAGAGCAGGAGGAGTCCTGGGACTCAAGTTCAGTTCTTTGAACTCGCTTTCAGTATCTGAGATTGACAGACTGCTGGGGCAAGTTTACACACCCTAGAAAGTCTCGAGAAAATACGATGTGCATTTATTTATTCGGCTTCAGGTGCTCCAAGTGTGTGAAATGTTTAGAGATTTTAAAAGAAATAAAATATTGCAGTTATAATTGAAGTCCCTTTCGAGTGCTTGTTGCACACCTCTCGTACCCTGTCATGTCTACAGGTAAACTGCCTACTTAGTATGTGTCATTCTTATACACTGTGCTTTTTATGCTTCCACCACATGTGTTAGCTCTGCCGTTACTGAAACATAATACCCAACGCTCCAGATTTAAAGAAGGCTGTGTTGGGTAGGCTCAGGTTTTCAGTCTGTGATTGTGGGGCTCCTCGGTAGAAACGTGAAGGAAGAATCTGGAGGAGCAAAGCTGCTCGGGTCATGGCGGCAGGGAAGGAGAGCTGGGGACAGGGCCAGAGAGGAAGGGGTGACGGTACCCAAGGCCATGCCCACCCCCAGAGCCCAACACACCAGGAAAACACTTTACTCATCTGCTGGGTATTTCTAATCCAATGGCGCTGACATATCAGGATGAATGGCCACACCACATATATTAGCATCCCTGAGCAATATATAGTATTGCATAGTCTTTAGGAAATACAGAAATAGTGTCAGGCTGTTCATGTTAGACTTTGCAATTTATGTAAAGATAGAGTGCAGAGAAGTATGCTCTTACATGCATAAACTCCTAGTTCTATCATCTTAATCGCTGTGTGATATTCCACTGTATGAGTGTCTCATAATTCACCCATTCATTCTTCTGTTTGTGGTCTACAGATTATCTCCAGGATTGTTCTCTCCCCCAACCTAAATACAGCCTTATTTCTATCTCTTCTTTCCCCTCACGTTTCAGACTAGGTTTTCGGAATTGCGGGAAATACTTTACTTCCGTTTGGGGAGGTATTACGGTTATTCTATGAAGCAGCCCAGCACCAATTCTGACCTCTCATTCTCCCGATAGCAGCGTGGAAGGTTCCCCCATGTGCACCTCTTTATCGTTACTTCAGGAATGTGTATAAATAGATATTGAAAGCCAGTGAACACGTCTTTAGTAACTGAATTTAAAGTGCCTGCAAATCACCACAGCTTATACACCTAACCAAAGCCAAAAAGGTCAGTTAAATAAAGTATTGCAAAAAATTGGAGAAATTGATTACATCATTTTCTGGCAGAATGGCATAATCATCTGTGCCAATAGAAGGTTCTTGGAATATTTATTAAATGACATTCATGAAATTCGCTACTGGAAAGCACCCTCGTGTGAATAATCTTCAAATTAGAAAATATTAGCCCACTCCTTCTAGGTGTTCTTATATAGGCCCAGTGTACACTAAATAAACTGCACCTAATTTAAAATCCTCTTCACAGTTGTAGCTGTCTTTGGCCCTCTCTCAAACACACCTGCTCTCAGAGCAACTTTGCGCCTTAAGCAGCAGACATTTGTCTAAGATTTGTTAACATTCTGTAAGAATGCTGCAGCTCTGAATGAAGTGAGAGATGAACAGCTGTTCCTCGCAGACAGTGCTGTAAACAAGGCCATCTTCTGGGGGTATTTTGGCAACTTTTTTTTAATCAACAGTAGAGTAATAATCACTATTAAAACTGTCTTCATTCAAATTTATATTTACCTATTGAAATTCTTCTGTAAGGCTTTTAGTCTGATAATTCGCATAGTAAAGAAGAAACTGACTAATCTTTCTCCTCATGTTGCTATGTATGGAATAGTTCTTATTTGTAAAACACCTTGTTTTAAGAGGCTTCATTTTCTTCCATACTTACAGTTAGTTGAATACTATACAGAAATGAGGAAACATGTATCCCTGAAATTCTAGAAGACTGTATTTCTCAACAATAAGTCTGGGCATCTTCACAAGTGAAACTTTAATCTGAAATCTTAGAAAAATAAAAGAAGAAAGAAATTAGGGAAGATTGTATTTCATTGTTTCTTTGATTTTCCCTTGAGCCTTCCACTTTTTTGCCCTTAATCAAGGAAAAAGAAAGGAAGCATTAATCAAATGGAATTTTAGCCTTCGAATAGTCAACAAATGGGTCACCTTATTGATTCTGTAATCCTTTTGAGAAGCATATACAATGTACGTTTGGTCGTCTCTTTTATTGATGGAATACAAAGAAGAGACACATGATGACAGGTTAAATATCACGCAGAAATAATGGCTTCAACCCACAGGGCACTGGACATGACATCTCCCCCTCTGTTTCCTTTATCTTTATAGAGATTATAGGTAAAAGTCGCTATAACATATGGTTATTGAGATGTATGGAAGGAAAATCCATATGTGATCACCACTGGCTTCTCTGTTTCAAATATCATTTTGGATCATTTTGATGTCATACATTATGTTTTGTTCTCATGATTGAAGGATGACCTCTGTTGCCACTCATATAGGTTCACTCAAATTTTGATGTGGAAAAGAGTTAATTATTTTTCTTTTCATTTTGTCCTTATATTTTCATTATCCTTTTTTATATTTTGTTTTCCTTTTTAACAGTGTGTCCTCAGCAATATCACAGGGTATAAGAAAAAGAAAGAAGAATTCCTGGTCTCCAAAGGATTTAGGGGCGATATAAGCATGTGGAAACACCAAGATAAGAACAAATATTAGAGGTGATTATGTGCCATATTTCCAGGACTGTAAAGGACACACGAGTCTCTAAGTTAACAAAGGTTACTTTCCCCGGGAAGGAAAAGTTGCAGATGGCATCACAAGTCAATTCTGTGTCTGTCTGCGGGGTGAAGGGATCAAGTCACCCTGACCATGAAGCTAGTGGTGTAGGTCAGGCCCAGTCAGGTTTATTTGCCTTAGCAGGGAAGTTAAATCTTACTATAATGAAGACAAATTTCTACTTTTATGCCACATGTTGAGAAAAATTGGCTAGAACCTCTCTCCTTTACTTCTTTCTTTTAATTCTCAAATTCAATCTTCTCACCACAGTGCTCCTCCTTGACCTCAAAAACGGTCATGTACATCATGCCAGTAAAACAACTATTTCCATGCCTTTGCCTTAAATGCACTACGACTCTTGGCTGGCAGGTGCGCCAAGCTGCTTATTTGCCCTGCTCTTTCCTTTTCCCATAGACTTCTCCTTTGCACTGGTGTGTTTCAAATCTAATGTCAGCTAGAAACTTGCTGTCAAGGCCTCTGTTGATTGCTTGCTATGCTTGTGTTCGTATGTTTCCCTGATTCACAGTAGTTTTTCAAGCATAGTTTCTTGATGAGTCTTTAACTTTGAGCCTTTAGCTAACATAGTAAGTTTTCAAGAAATGTGGATGTGTGAATTA